GAAATGGGCTGATATTGGTTATTCTGAATCTGAAAACCACAGGATTTACTATGCCGGGAATGACAAATTAGAAAAGGAATGGTGTCACAATCATTATCAAACAGAACATTTCAAGATCTATCTGTGATAGGATAACATCCATATGTTTACAAGGAAAATCAGTTAATACCACTATTATTCAAATTTACGCACCAACCACTAAAACCAGTGATGATGAAACTGAAGAATTCTACCTGCTTCTTCAGGCTGAAATTGATCAAATAAGTAATCAAGATGTATTGATAATTACTGGTGATTGGAATGCAAAGGTTGGGGAAAAAAAAGGAAGAATTAGTCATTGGAAAATATGGCCTTGGTGACAGAAATGATGCTGGAGAACACATGACAGAATTTTGCAAGACCAATGACTTCTTCATTATAAATATCTATTTAAAATAATATAAGACTATACACACGGACCTCACCAGATGGAGTACACAGAAATCAGACTGACTACATCTGTGGAATGGTACAGTGGAAAAACTTCGTATCATCAGCCAAATCAAGGCCAGGGACAGATTGTGGTACAGACCATCAATTGTTCTTATGCAAGTTCAAGCTGAAGTTGAAGAAAACTGTTAACTCCATGAGAACTAAAATCTGACTTTGAACACATCCCATTTGAATTCAGAGCTCATCTGAAGAACAGATATGATGCATTTGACACTAAAGACTGAAGATCAGAAGAGTTCTGGGATAACATCAAGAACATCATACAAAAGAAACAAAAGGTCATTAAGAAGACAAGACAGAAGGAAAAGATAAAAATAGATGTCCGAAGAGACACTAAAACTTGTTTTCTAGCATGTTGTTAAGTGCCACTGAGTAGATTCCGACCCATAGTGACCCTGTATAGGGTTTTCAAGTAGTAGCTGGTGAGCTTGAACCACCAACCTTGCAGTTCAAACGACTTTGCAGTCTGAGGCATTAGCCCACAGCACCACACCAGATTTTCTAGCATAGAGATGTTAAATTAAATGGAAGATAAAAGGAGGTAAAAATGCTGAATTTCAAGAGGTAGTTGCAGAAGAGAAAGTCAAATATTTTAAATGAAAATGTGCAAAGATGTGGAGTTAGAAAACCAAAAGGGAAGAACACACTCACCATTTCTCAAGGTGAGAAAGATCTGGATACAAAAATTCCAAGCCTCAACTAGCAATATTGAAGGATTCTATGTGCAAAATATTGGATGATGCAGAAATAATCAAAAGATGGAAGGAATACACAGCCACTATACCAAAAAGATACAGTTGATGTTCAGTCATTTTAAGAGACAGCATATGACCAAGAGCCAGTAATACTAGGAAGAATTCCAAAGTGCACTGAAGGCCTTGGCAAAAAAAACAAGCTTCCAGGAATTGATAGGATTGAAAGTGAAATCTTTCAACAAACTGATGTGTCACACTGGAGGCACTCACTCATCGATGCCAAGATATTTGGAAATCAGCAACTTGGCCAATGACTGAAATGCCCATTACAAAAAGAGGTCACTCAACAGAATACGGAAATGATTGTAAATATCAATAATACTGCATGCAAGTAAAATTTTGCTAAAGATAATTCAAAAATGCCTACAACAGTACATTTACAGGGAACTGCCAGAGGTTCAAGCCAGATTTAGAAGAGGATGTGGAACAAGAGGTATCATGGCTGATGTCATATGGATGTTGGCTGAAAATAGAGAATACTAGAAAGATGATTACCTGTGCTTTATTGACTATGCAATGGCTTTTGACTGTGTGGATTATGAAAAGCTGTGGATAATATGGCAGAGAATGAGTATTCCCAGATCACCTAATTGTGCTCACGAGGAACTTGTTCATACACCAAGAGTCAGTTGTTCAAACAGAATAACGGAATACTGAATGGTTTAAAATGAGGAAAGGTGTGTGCCAGGGTTGTACTATTTTACCATACTTATTCATTCTGTATGCTGGACAAATAATTTGAGAAGTTGGATTATACGAAAAACGTATCATCAGGATTGGTGGAAGACTCATTAACAACCTGCAATATGCAGATGATATAATCTTGCTTATCGAAAGTTAAGAGGATTTAAAACCTTACTTACTGAAAGCAAAGAGGACTTAAAACCTTTCAGTATGGGTTGTACCTCAATGTAAAGAAAAAGAAATTCTCACCACTGGACTAATAAATAGCTTCCATTTAAATGGAGAAAAGATGAGGTTGTTAAGGACTTCATTTTGCTTGACTCAACCATCAACACTCATGGAAGCTGCAGTCAAGAAATCAAACAATATATTGTATTAAGCAAATCTGCTGCACAAGACCTTTTTAAAGTGTTCAAGTGCAAAGATGTCAGTTTGGGGATAAGGTACGCATGACCAAGCTATGGTATTTCAATAACTTCATATGCATGTGAAAGTTGGACAGTGAATAAAGAAGACCATTGAAGAATGGATGCATTTGAGTTACAGTACTAGAGAACATTATTAGAAGTGCCATGCACCACCAAAAGAATAAACAATTCTGTGTTGGAAGAATGCTCCTTAGAAGCTAGGATGGTCAGATTTTGTCTCTCATACTTCAGATATTTTAACAGGAGGGACCAGTTCCTGGAGGACATCATACTTGGTAAAGTGGAGGGTCAGAGAAAAAAAAGATCTTCAACAAGATGATGCATTGGCACAGTGGCAACAGCAATGGTCTCAATCAAGGTAAGTAACGATTGTGAGGTTGGCGAAGGATTGGGCAGTGTTTCAGGCTGTTGTGCACAAGGTTGATATGAGTCAATAACAAATTGATGACACCTAACAACCACCACAATGAGTCGGTAACAAGTCGACAACACCTAACAACCACCACAACTTAAAAACAAACTTGGTACACTTTTACTACACATTATGTTGTTATATATGCTAATTTCTCTACATTTCTCTTAAGAAAATGAAAGGTCTGCAAAGACTTCCAAATAATATAGCAACCAACCCAGATGTCTATGAGTTTACGTACCACTGTCTCTGTATCTTAATTTCACATGCTCAATTTTCACATTACCTTCTTAAAAAAAAGTCTTTCCTCCACCCACCTCAAACCCTTTCATCTCTCCACTTTACAGCCATCTTTCTAAGCATGCTATTTCCATGTCTTAACCCCCATCTACTTAACCACCCCATTATTCTACAAATACAGCTCTTGCAAGATTCCCAGTGACCTTCCTGTTATTCATTCCAAAGGACATTTTTTAAGTCTTCACACTATTTGATCTTGTAGGTGATCCTCCTCTTTCATGAAGTACACTCTGCCCCTGAATTCTTCCCCTTCAATATCCTGGTTTCTCTCCTCTTTCTGTAGTCTCCCCCCTTCTGATTCCTTTCGGATCATCTTCTTTAACCCAGAAATCTACTGCTATAGTTCTTAAATGTTCAGGTTCTCTTAATCTACATAGCATATTCCTTTTCCAATCAATGTAACCAAGAGGGTAACTTCACAAACTCAAAAACGTATTATCTTCAGTTAAGACTTCTCCTTTATATGGCAAGTTCATATATCATTTGTGTACTAACAACCCTATCTGGGTATGGCAAAGTACCTGGAAATGAATGAGTCCAAAATCAAACTTAAGATGTTTCATTATTCATTCTTAGACTATTTCAGTGTTCTTACTCAGAAACTATCAATTGGAAAGAATATCTACTGAATTGAAGGAAGATTTCACTAAATTTAAAATAGGATAGTTGTGGATTTTAAGAAACAGACATTAGGAGAAAAATGCAAGATGTTTTTACATTGCACAACCACAAATGTGAGACAAGTCAAAACATAGTTAGAGCTGAACCAAAAGACTTGTGAGACTCAACTACAAAGATAGCCTTGGCAACAGGCTATTAATAATATAATAAAAGTCAAAAGTAAATTAAGTAAATAAAAATTCAGGGTGGAGCAACACATATTCCATTCAACTTGCTCCACCTAGAGGACAGTCTGGGAAAGTGTTGTGTTATAGAAAATCAGTCATGCCAAATAACTCCTAAACATATTTGATTTCCAAAATTACCTACTAACATTCTGTTCTAGCAAACATTCTTTCCATATAGTTCTTGTAAGATTCCCTGTTTGTTACCCACAATCGGGATTACTTAAAACATGTATCGCTTTTCTCATCCTTATCTACGAAATCCCACCAATCACCCTTCTTTTACCAAATGATCTTGTATTCTGATCACCGAAAAAAGACCGAAAGGTGAATTTCCCCCATTTCTTTACTCTTTCCTTCCAAATGTATCTGTAATTCTAAGTCCCATTTTTGGATTCTAAGATTTAATTGCCTACATTTTAGTGGTCTTTTACAATTTGTTTGTAGGTATCATTTACTACCCTCCCTTTCAACTATACTCACAGATATACACACACACATGGACATGGCATCAACATGTACATACACACATCACCGAAGCTTCTGTCCTTAGTACATTTTATGTCTTTTGGTCTATATTCTCTCTTTAGGTGATTTCATACATTCGGTGTCTTGCTCAAATCTCAAACTTTGCTTATTGACAGTTAAATTCTTTTGTTTGTTCATCACTCTTATTCTTTTTCATAAAATTTCAGATGTGAATTAACATTTTCCAATCTAGAAATTTAAATGATTGATGACAAGTAAATTTCCCTAACCACTGTACCCAATATAACATACAATAATAATTATTACCATTTACAAGGAGCTCTGGTAATGCAGTGGTTACGAATCAGGCTGTGAACTGCAAGGTCAGCAGTTCAAAACTACCAGCTGTTCCACTGGAGAAAGACGAGGCTTTCTGCTCCCGTAAAGATTTACAGCCTCGGAAACCCTGTACAGGGTTGCTATGAGTCGGAACCGACTCCATGGCATATAACAACAACAATAACAACATTACCATTTACACTTCAGAAATGTCTACTTAACTCTTTTCTGTCCTGTTTCACAGCCCAAACACTTCTTATTTGGGCCTTAATATTACCTTGGCAAAGGTGTGAATTCACTGATTATTCCTTCTGCTCCAAGTGTGACTCCCTGGACAATAAATGTACTTCCCATTCCTTTCCAAAGGGCTCTTGGTCCCTAAAATGAGTAAAATGTATTTGTTATTTCTATAAAATATTTCTACTTAACAGCTATAAAATATCTATTTCTACTTAATTTGTAAGTATGAAACATGAAAATGTATTATAAAATTTGCTATTTTATGAAAACCAAAACTTCCCAATGGGGAACTCTAGTATCTCTCCTAGCAGATAATTACAACTAAATTAATTTCCTATCATTATTTAAAGCTTGCTAGATGAACACTCCAATTAATTAAGTAACTCTAACTGTGACTCTGGTAGCATACTGGATACAAACTGGGTTGTGAACCACAAGGTCAGCAGTTCAAAACTACCAGCTGTTCCGCAGGAGCAAGATCAGGCTTTCTGCTCCCATAAGATTCACAGCTTCGAAAACCATGTACAGGGTCACTAAGAGTCAGAACCGACTCCACAAGTACACAAGAGCCAACATATGACCATGAACATATCCAACCTGTATTTAGAGACCATCTCAAGAAGATTTGATGCATTATAAACTAATGACTAAAGCCCAGAAGATTTGTGAGATAACATCAAGAACATCACACAGGAAAAAAGCAAAAGGTCACTAAGAAGACAAGAAAGAAGGAAAAGGTCCAAATGGATGTCAGAAGAGATTCTGAAACTTGCTCTACAGCATAGAGATGATACAGCTAATAGGAGAAATGAGGCGGTAAACGAGCTGCATAGAAAATTTCAAAGGGTTGCTCGGGAAGGTAAAGTCAAGTATTACAATGAAATGTGCAAAGGTCTGGAGTTAGAAAACCAAAAGGGAAGAACACAACATTTCTCAAGCTGAAAGAACTGAACAAAAAAGTTAAGCCTTGACTTTCAATATTGAAGGATTCTATGGGCAAAATATTGCATGATGCAGAAAGGATCAAAATAAATGGAAGGAATACCTGAGACACTGTACCAAAAAGAAAAGGTCAATGTTCAACCACTTTATGAGGTAGCATGTGTTCAAGAGCCAATGGTGTACTGAATGAAGTCAAAAGTATGCAGAGGGCATTGACAAAGAACAAGGGTCCAGGAACGGATGGAATATCAATGGATACCTTTCAACAAACTGATGCAGCACATGAGACACGCACTCATATACTATGAAACTTGGAAGACAACTAGCCAGCCAACTGATTGGAAGAGATCCATTTTTGTGCCCAGTCCAATGAGAGGTGATCCAACAGAAAGTGGTACTCATTGGACAATATTATTTAATATCACATGCAAGTAAAATCCTGGTGAAGATAATTCAGAAATGGCTGCAAGAGTACATGGACAGGGAACTGCCAAAGGTTCAAGCCTGTTTCAGATGAGGATGTGAAATGAGCAGTTTTATTACTCATATCAGATGGATCTTGGCTGAAAGCACAGAATCCCAGAACTACATTTACCTGTGCTTTACTGATTATAAAAAAGTATTTGATAGTGTGGGTCATGACAAGCAATTAAAATATTGTGAAGAATGGATATTTCAGAACACTTATTTGTGTTTGTTAGGAACCTGTACATAGACCAAGAGGCAGTCATTCAAACAGAACAAAGGTATGCTAAATGGTTTAAAATCAGGAAATGTGTGTGTCAGGGTTGTATTATTTCACCATACTTATTCAATCTGTATGCTGAACAAATTATCCGAGAAGCTGGATTACATGAAGAATGACGCATCAGGGCTACAGGAAGACTCATTTAACAAACCTATGCTATGCAGATCATACAACCTTGTTTCCTGAAAGCAGAAATGACTTAAAATACTTTTCAATATGAGTTGTACCTCAATCTAAAGAAAACAAAACTCCTCACTACTAGATCAATAAGTAATATAATGCTAAACTAAGAAAAGATTGATGTCAAAGATTTCATTCTGCTTGGATCCACCATCAACACTCATTGACGCAGCAATCAAAAAAATCAAACGATGTTTTTCATCAGGCAAATCTGTTGCAAAAGTCCTTGTTAAACTGTTCAGGAACAAAGATGCCAGTTTGAGGACTAAGGTGCTCCTGACCCAAGCCACAGTATTATCAATAACGTCATAGGTATGTGAAAGTTGGACACCAAATAAAGAAGACCATAGAAGAATTGATGCCTTTGAGTTACGGTGCTAAAGAAGAATATTAAAGTACCATGGACTCCTAGAAGAACAAACAAATCTGTGATGGAAGACATACAGCCAGAATGCTTCTTAGAAGCCAGGATAGGGAGACTTCGTCTTTTATACTTTGGACATGTTATCAGGAGGACCATTTCCTAGAAAAAGATGTCAAGCTGGGTAAATTGGAGGGTCAGCGAAAAAGAGGAATACCCCAATGAGATGGAATGACACAGTAGCACCAACACTGGGATCAAGCATAACAAGAATTGTAAGGATGGTGTAGGACCTAGAAGTGTGTCCATTAGTTGTGCATAGGGTCTCTACAAGTTGGAACCTACTCAAAGGCTCCTAACAACAACTATGTCTTTAGTCCAGGCTTCTCTCAGACCTCTATGTATGTATATTCAACTTCCTACTAGTCTTCAAGGAGCTCTGGTAGTGTAGTGGTTACAAGTCGGGCTGCTAACCTTGTGGTCAGCAGTTCAAAACTACCAGCGGTTCCGCGGGAGGAAGATGAGGCTTTCTGCTACCGTAAAGATTTACAGCCTTAGAAACCCTATGCAGGGTCATTATGAGTCGGAACAGACTCCACGGCACACCACCACCACTACTCTTTACCTTCATGAAGGCAAGTATTCTACTACTAAGCCACTGGTGCCTTGAGACTGATCCTAGGGTATCTAATTTTACATATCCACATAATGAAACCACATTCCCTCAGCCCCACCCCATACTGATTCCTTCCTTCTCTGTTAAATGTCCTATCTCCTTAGATAGCAGCTTCATCATTTCAGTGTCCAAATGACACTTTTTTGTCTCACTCTTTATAACTAATCAGTTATTCCCTTAATATCTTACTTGGGTCCAGTTATATGGTGCTACAGGGGGAACAATGGACTACTAACTGCAAGGTTGATAGTTCAAACACCAGCCTCTCCTCGGAAATCTTATATAGGGTCACTGTGAGTCATGACCGACTTGATGACATTTAACAACATGGACTCTAATAACCCGTCCTCTTCTCATCATCCTTATACCATTACTTTCTATTAGTTTGACTAGTTATCACTGTCTCTAAACTTGTCACTTTCCATGATGCCATTAGTATTATCCCTATTATCTATATTATTAATCAATAACATACATATGGTAAAACTTTTAAAACTCTAAAGTTTTTCAGGTGAAAAGTCTGTCTCTTCATCCTAGTTTCCTTAGCAGTTTACTCTAGAGATCGTACACCCATATACAAGTGTATCTTTGTATGTATACATAAAGGTATTGTTTTGTTCATTTTTAACAGTGACATTTTACTATGTGCATTATTCTGAACCTTAACAAATACCTCAGAGGTTACTACATATCAGCACAGTTCCCTATTTTATTTTCAACATCTACATGAAGTTTCACTACTTAAACATACTGTAATTTACTTCACAAATATCCTATTGATGAACATTAAGTCATTTCATTCTCATTATTATAAACAATGCCACAATGACATCTTGTATATACATGCATCAATCGACTTATACACATACACCCAATCTATGTGGGATAAGTTCCCTCTATTTTAAGTAGACTTAATAAAGAATATATAAATTTTAAATTTTGATAGATATTGCCAAACAACCTAACTCTGCTCAAGACACTTTGTTATTGTTGTTGTGAAGTGCTGTCAGGTTGGTTGCGACCCATAGCAACCCTGTATAGGGCTTCTGAGGAGCAGCTGGTTAGCCTGAACTGCTGACCTTGCAGTTCAAACGGCTTTGTAGTCCGGCGCATTAATGCACAGCGCCACACAACTCCTTTAGTCACTACTAAAAAACCTTCCATGGTACTCTCATAGCTTTTAAGATTAACTGTGCAGTTTTTAGAAGGTTTTTACAATCTGGAGAGTGCTTATTATCTTGAGGTCCTTTTCTATTCATCTCTTCGTATTCAACTACTATGGTGCTTTAAATATCGATCCCAATTTTTATAGCCGCTCTTGCTCATAAGGTCAGAGGTTCAAGCTCACCAGTTGCTCCTTGGAAACCCTATAAAAGGTCGCTATGGGTCAGAATAGACTCGACAGCACTTACCAACAACTCCTTCTTTTATACCTTGCTATTTCAAATACATTTCTGTACATCATTTCAAGATAAGACTGCTGGACAACAAGGGTAACAGCTCGGGTGTCTCTTCTTCCTAAAGTTTTTCCTAACAATACTCTGTGTCCGATTCAGGTTGAGATATACCTCTGCTTCAATATTGATAACATGCTACCCTTAAAAGCATTTATCTTGATTTACCATAATCTCTTGTTTAAATTTCTATTTCCATTTTTTTTTTCTATTTCCATTATTAATGTAGAAATCGCTTCATAGCAGGCAAATGACCTTATCTGTTGCTTTATTTTCACAGTTTAGCAGACTTCTTTGCAATTTTTGGTGAACTAAATAAATAAAATTTTGTAACATTCTAAACATGTCACTACAATGTTACATTATTTGTAGTAGAAGAGTTAAGATATTTTATTAAACAAATTAAAAGGAATTATTATCGGTTTAACTATTCCATCAACAACACCAATGACAAGACAACCAAAAAACCTCATTGCCATCAAGTCGATTCTGAGTGGCACTTTGTAGGATTTCTAAGACTGCAAATCTCTAGAGAGGAAGATAGCATCATCTTTTCCCTGTGGAGCAGCTGTTGAGTTTGAAATGCAAATCTGCAGTTATCAGTCCAAAGTTTATTCTACAATTTTAACTATTACTATATATTTATCATCAAAAATAACATTTCAAGGTCTATCTTGAAGTATAATGTTATCTGTGACAGGATAATATCCATACACTTAGAAGGATAACTAGTTAACACCACTATTATTCAAATTTATACTCCAAAGAGTGATGAGGAAATTTAAGAATTCTACCAACTTCTTCAGTATGAAATTAACTAATCTGAAATTAAATATGCAATCAATATATATTGATAATTACTGGTGATTGGCATGAAAAGATTGAAATCAAAGACAAAGGATCATTAGTTGAAAAATACAGCCTTTGTGATGCTGGAAATGGCATGACAGAATTTTACACAACCAACGAATTATTCATTATGGAAATAACCTTTAGAAAATAACATAAAAGACAACCATACATATGGATCTCACCAGATGGAATATGCAGAAATAAAACTGCTTACATCTGTGGAAAGAGACGGTGGAAAAGCTTGCTATCAGTGAAAACCAGCCTAGGGGCAAACTGTGGAACAGACGATGGTCTGCTTATATGCAAGTTCATGATAAAGCTGAAGGAAATTAAAACAGGTCTATGAGAGTCAAAATATGACACTAAACATATCCCACAGGAATTTAGAGATTATCTCAAGAACAGACTTTATGAATTACACAATAATGATTGAAGATTAGAAGAGTTGTGGGATGACATCAAGAACATCTTACAGGAAGAAAGCAAAAGGTCACTAAGACAGGAAAGGAAAAGATCCAAATGGATGTCAGAAGAGACTCTGAAACATACTCTCCAGGATAGAGATGCTAAAAAAAAATGGAAGAAATATGGAGGTAAAAGAGCTGACCCAAAAATTTCAATGGGCATCATTACAAGACATAGTCAAGTATTACGTATTATAATGACCTAGGGTGGTGGTGGTGGTTATGTGCTGTGGAGTCGATTCCGACTCATAGCGACCCTGTACAGGGTTTCAAGGCTGTAAATCTCTACGGGAGCAGAAAGCCTCACCTTTCTCCTGTGGAACAGCTGGTAGTTTCAAACTGCTGACCGTGAGATTAGCAGCCCGATTCGTAACCACACTACGCTACTGAAGAACATGCTCAGTATTTCTCAAGCTGAAGGAACTGAAGAAAATATTACCACCTGAACTTGTAATACTGAAGGATACTATGGGCAAAATATTAAATGATACAGACAGCATCAAAAGAAGACGGAAGGGATACACAGAATAACTGTACTAAAAAGAAATAGTCCATGTTCAATCATTTCAAGAGACAGGATATGATTAAGAGCCAGTAGTACTGAAGGAAGAACCCAAGATGCACTGAAGGTATTGGTCAACAAGAAGGTTCCGGGAATTGATGGAATACAAATTGAAATCTTTCAATAAACCAATGCACTGAAGGCACTTACTCATCTATGCCAAGAAACTGGGAAGACAACTATCTTGTCAACTGACTGGAAAAGATCCCTATTTGTAACCATTTCAAAGAAAGATGATGCAATGAATATGGAAATCATCCAACAATTATCATTAATATCCCATGCAAATAAAATTTTGTTCAAGTAACTAATAAATGGCTGCAACAGTATACTGACATGGAACTAAGAGAGGTTCAAGTCAATTTAGATGAGGACATGGTATGAGGGAGGGCTACCACTGCTGAAGTCAGATGTATCTTGGCTGAAAGCAAAGAAAAATGTTTACCGGTACTTTACTTACTATGCAAGGACTGTTGACTGTGAAGATCATGACAAACTACAAACAACATTGCAGAGAATGAGTATTCCCGAATAACCAATTGTACTCATGAGGTACCTGTACATAGACTAACAGGCAGTCATTTAAACAGAATAAGGGAACACTGAATGGTTTAAAATCAGGAAAGGTTTGTGCCAAGGTTGTATTCTTTCACCATAATTATTTAATCTGTATGCTGAGCAAATAATCCAAGAAACCAGATTATATGAAGAAAAATGTGGCATCAAGACTGGAGGAAGGCTTGTTAAGACCTTGTGATATGCAGATAATACAACTTTGCTTGCTGAAAGGGAAGAGGACTTAAAATATTTATTGATGAAGATCAAAGACCACAGCCTTCAGTATGGTTTGCAACTCGATGTCAAGAAAACAAAATTCCTCACCACTGGATGGAAAAATAACATCATGATAAAAGGGAAAAGATTGAAGTTGTCAAAAGACTTCATTTTGCTTCAATCCACCATCAACAATCACAGGAACAGCAGTCAAGAAATCAAATGGCATATTACATTAGGCAAATCAGCTGCACAAGACCTCTTCAAAGTGTTCAAGAGCAAAGTTGTCAATTTGAGGACAAGGTGAGCCTGACTCAAGCCATGGTATTTTTCAATAGGTGCATATGCATGTGAAATTGGATAGTGAATACGAAAGAGTGTAGAAGAATTGATGCATTGGAGTTATGGTTACGGAGGAGAATATTAAAAGTACCACAGTCTGAGAGAATAACCAATAAATCTTTGTTGAAAGGAGTACAGCAACAATGTTCCTTAGAAGCCAGGAAGGCCAGATCTCATTTCTCATCCTTTGGACATATTAGGAGGGACCAGTCCTTGGAGATGGATATCTTGGCATGGTGGAGGGTCAGTGAAAAAGAGGAAAAACCCCAATGACATGGATTGGCACATCAGCAGCAGCAAGAGTTGTGAGGTTGATTCGGAACCAGGCAGTGTTTGGTTCTAATCTGCATAAGGTCACCATGAGTGGGAACCCACGGGACAGCACCTAGCAATAACAATGCCCAAATAATACCTGTGTTAAATATAACTTTGATATAACCTGTATACTGAGTAACTCTTACCTGAGTTTTGTTGAAGCTGTACATAATATTAATGACTGTAAATGGAGTCAGATGATAATTCTGAGCATGGTAATTAACCTGAAAGACAATATTTCATTATTGTTTTTTCTATTTTGTCAAGAAATAACAAAGTTATGACAGATACTGTGGAATCACGGCACAAATAAAGTTAAATTCTAAAGTCAGCATATATTATATATGTAAAAAAGTAATCTCAAAAGTGTTTTCAATATACATTAAAAGTATATTATGGTTATACAGGAGGAACAAACAAGTCGGTGGATCAGGTGGATGTGCAGTACAGAGCTCCGCCAACAACAACACAGAATACCTGACCAAGCAGGCTCAGGGGATGGTCCCAGAACTCTGAACCACATATAAAGGAATATTTAAAATTTATGGCAGAATCAAGAAATCTATTGCTTTCTAGTCTGGGATGCTCGGCTGCTCCAGGAGCCGCCATCTTAGGTGAGACCACGTGGGGGAAGGATCAGAGCAGCCACAGACACCTGGTAGAACCGCTGAGACAAAGGTGTGGACATTCTTTTCTTTTGGTATCTGTTCATTGGTCCCTTGCTGCCTGCGCACCTCCATTCTGGTAACTATAGGGGAGATTGAGCTAGTGGGTACCCCAGCCCTACCCTCAGAAGGTTCTACTACACATGCACACAGATCTCCTCTAAATTTAAAGAGACAGTTTCCAATTAAAACCAAACGGCCACAGCCGGCCCTGAACTGCTTCCAATTAGAAAAAAAGGACTGAACGGGGATTGTGGAGTGGGACAAGCAGACAAAAGAGGAATTAGGCCAAAAATTAAATCCTAAATTATGTCAAAACGACCAACAGTGGTATCTTGAAACTTCTCAGGAAGAAGAGTGAAAAGGGAAGCCAATTTTCCTGATCACATCTACCTGGAAGCATTCAAAAAGCATAAAAAATACCAAAATACATACCCATCTAAGTATTAAGTCCACAGATAACCCCTGAAGATGCCCAAAAAACAGAAGCAGATGACCGTATCTGCACTGTCCAGAAACGAGATAAAGTTACTGAGGCAAATGAGCTGGAAGTAGACCTACACTCAATAATGGAAGATGGGCAGGTTTTGGAAAACCAGAGAAGGAATTCATAAAAGTGATTACAAAAGATATCAAAACACTATACAATGCAGTTGAGAAAAATAAGGAAGAAGTCAGGAAAGTGCTACAGGAACAATCAAATAAGACAGATAGAGCATTGAAAACAATTCAAAACCTACAGAAAGAGGTCCAAACAATTAATAATAGAATATCAGAAATGGACAATACATTGAAAGGGCAAAGGAATAGAATTGAA